GACCGATTAAAAGGTGGCAGAGACAAGGTGATTAAAAAAAAAAGTTTTAAAGTGAGTTAGTCCTTATATTAATGTACCACTTCAATGACATGCCCCTCCAGAGTGGATACCGACGGCAGAGTTGGAGGCACCTACTTATGATTTGAAAACAACGTTAAATTTGTCTTGTCAGCATTAAGAAATAGTTTAAGACGAATAAATGAATACCATACAGAAACAAAGGCCTTCTGTACAGAATTAACAGCCTGTACTAAAGATGGCAGAAAAATAAATATTGTATCATCGGCATTAAAAATGAATGTTAGCACTAGATACATTTTGTTCAACATTGCTGATGTACAGCGTAAATAAAGCCGCCGTGACACCTTGACAATTTAGATCACCGTATGCCTGCCGTAACAGAAACTAGAACTTGACTAGAACCAACAGAAACAGTAACTTGCAGTAAATCTGGTAAAATGGTCAAATGAGTTGGATAAGTTATGAGTACGCTGAAGCATGGTAAAACACCCTGGAACACGTCGACAAACGGCAAGAAAATACATAAATAGCAGCTAATACCGCAACAAAAGAAATCCTGTTATGCAGCCTGAGGGCCTGAAGGGAGCAGCTTTAACTGATGCCCATTGGCATCACTCTGCCGTGTGTTACGCAGAGATTAGACTGTCGTTGGACAGAAGTTCTGGACTCGTTATGAATACTCTATGTATTCACCCAAAATAGAAATAAATATATAGAAAGTTCAGTGTATGTCAGCGTTTTAGGAGGTTCTGGGATGTCGGGCATACGCCCGATAAATTGGCAAGATGTGACGGGGGCCTTAATATTTTCTCCTCTGGCATTCATAGCTGAATCTCTCAAATTTGCTGGAAAACTTTCCTTCATCATTAAAACCATTAAACTTCTGTAAACTTTATTCAAGAGGAGCTCAAAGCACACCCAAATGAACAGTGACAAATTCAGAACAACAAAGCTTAGAAGGTGATGAGGCTCTGCTCCTGCTGCTTTAGACGCTGCAGGTCCTTCTGATGCGCCTTGATGCGCGTCAACCATTGACTCTACATGTAAACCTGCTGCTGCTGCTGCTGAAAGCGTGTGCGGTGTGAACGTAGCATCAGAGTGAAAGTCAGAGCTGTTACATCTTCCTGCAGAAAGCTGCAGTGGTGCTGCTGGATGAGGAGCAGAGCAGGGCTGAGGGAAGAGGCGAGATGTCTGAGACGGAGCTCCTCATCATGGACCAGTTCACCATTCTAGTCAGAGACCTGTATGCCTTCTACCCGCTGCTCATACGCTTCGTGGACTACAACAGGTACGCTCTTTGTTTCCCTCCACTGTTTTAACACGCTGAACAACAGCTAGAACCTTTAGTTTTATCCAAATATCCACCATAATCTGACTAATCTGATGGATTAAAGCACTGCGCTGCCTGATGCTGTTGTCTGTATTACAGAGGACGGTGGCTGAAAGAGTCCAATCCAGAGGCAGAGGAGCTGTTCCGAATGGTTGCTGAAGTTTTCATATTTTGGGCCAAGTCTCATGTAAGAATAAAAAAAAAAGATTTTGATTTGATTTTTTTATTGTAGATCTTCTTCCCAAAGCAGATGCAGAACAATTCAAGGTTTTATCCTCAATAAAACCAGGAAGGATTGTTGGATTGATCTGGTTTCTATTCGGTTTCCTGCAATAACTTTGGATCATTTGTGAAAAAAAAAAGCCTAACTGGCCTTTTTCAGTGTTTATTAGTAAAAGGTATAGAATTAAGAAACTTTAAAAAAGCTCTAAATTTAAAAAAAGTAACTTTGCTTTTTTTTCTCGTTTCTGTTATTAAAATTTTTTTTTTCATATTTTATTTTTTCAAATTTATTTATTTATTTTTTTTTTAACATTTGTCTTTTTTCAGATCAAGTTTGATGAATTATTTTCTTTTCAAGAAAAACTTATTTTTTAAAAAGGATCTTAGAGAAACTTTTTGGTTTTTTCCATTTTTTTGTTTATTGTTTTTCAGAATAATCTGAATGCTCTGGACCAATAAAAATGTTGCTAATGTCCAGCAGACCAATAGAAATGCATCTTTGCTCCAAAGGAAGGGAGGCGACAGAACTGAGAAACGTGATTTGAAAAGTATGAAATTTGTAAAACTGGATACGAAAAAGAAAAATCAGAATAAATAAAAAAAGTCTTATCCTCAAAAAAATTTTGATCGAGAACATAATTCCATATCTGGATAACATTTTTATTTTTTTTTTTCATATGTCCTTATAAAAAATGTCTTTTAAGGTTACTTTACTAGTGAAACAAAATTCTCTCCATAAATGAGGCAGGTCCTATAAATGCAGGGAACTACTGAGGTTTTCTGTTTGATGTTGGTGAATATAATAACTGAATAGGATTCAGACTAAAAGCAGGAGAAAGGCTGAATCCAGAGGAATCATGATTCATCAATTATTGATCTAATTTGGTCACTAAATTGAATTATTAGCTCAAGTAATGGAGCACAGATCTCAGAACAGGCAATTTTCTAAAAATGAACCTATTTACAGATGTAATCAGGGGCAGATTTACCGTTAATACTAGGCAGCAGCCGAGGGCCCCAAGTTCCTGGGGGCCCCATAAAAACTCTGTTTTACATGTATGGTTAATACAACTATTCCTTATTTCTGGGCATTAATTATGTTTTTAATAAAAATCCTTT